TAGACCAAAAAACAAAAAAAAAAAAAAAAAAAAAAACCACAGCAGGGACAAATAAAGAGACAGGGCTCTTTCTCGTGGTCAAATGGTTTGAAACAATAACAAACTAAACAGAGAGACCCGAGGGGCTTATTATTGTGGTCATAACCATAAAGCATTGATATTGCTATGGTGTGAGTTTTGTGTTTTGACTTCACACCCATGACATTTTTGTGAGTGTTTAGTGCCTTGCTTTGGGACACCTACTCAGGAAGCAAGCTCGGACCTTTCCTCCCAAATTCTCGATATTGTATGTTGGTCTGCTGCAGGATTTGAATCAAACACAATCATGGTCCCATACCAGGCTGGGTGAAAACCACAAATCCTAACCATTTAGATGAGACTATGAGGGAAATAATGGGATTGTCTTCAACCGAGGCATTACATTAAAATATACGCTTGAATCTAAGCTCATAATATATCGTCCATTAGCCTCTACCTTGAATTGCCCTGGTTGTCTTACAAAAGACATTTCACCTCTCATTCGAACATGTTTTATCAGTTCATGCATATGCCTAGGCCAGAGCAGTCATTCACGACTTTTGCCGTCTCAGTATCTCAATGATAGTGTCAAAATAGTACATCACTACTTTTGTGAAGCATTTCTTGCACTGACTCTAGTTACATTGTTGTGTTGTACCTCGGCTTAGACCAGGAGTGTGATTTTTGTCACTGGCCACATCGTAGTTATACTTTTCCTTGGATAGCCATTATGACTTTCAACCCATATATGATCCCTCATATTATCACATACAGTATATACAACAGAATCCCCTCCACCCCAAATGTCATCAGCTATTTATTTAATTCATTTTATTTTGAAAGGGGCATTGTAACAAAAATTCCTTGCAATCTCTCAATGCTATTAAAAGTGAAGACAATTTGCAATGTTGGCATTTTCGCAATAAACATTGACGCCGACACATGATTTGCCTTCTGGGGCCACATAAAACAATGTGGCGGGCCAGATCTGGCCCCCAGGCCTTGCGTTTGACACCCATGGCTTAGCCCATGACTAGTGAGGATATGTCATCAGGATTTATACTCACGCTGACGAGAAGGCAGCGATTCTCCTTCATGGCTCCAAGCACACCCAGATAACACACGCAGGTAACAATCGTACCGGTGACCACCAGGGTGTTGGCGGGGTAGATGGGCCAGAAAGTGGTGACTAGAGATGCAAACTTGGAGTGTATGGCCTGAAATATCCCAAAGGCAACCACAAACGCGCCACATAGCTCCAGCACAGACAGGAAACAACACCTTACGTTTTCATTGTGGCCGTCCCATTTGGAGTTTGAATTCAATTGACAAGTATCAGAAGATTCAGAGGATAAACTTGCCATTTTCAGCACTTACCCAGCACAGGAAGTTGAGAAATATCATCAGGTTTTTTAAACGGTTTACACAGGAGCGATCCATTCCTTAATTCTGCGAGATCGCAAGCACTTCAGATTAGGGTCCCCGGAACAACAGAGATGTGTTTGACAGAAAAATAGAGAAGGCTGCTCTCTTTGGTGCCAGTGTGTTTACACCACAATAGTGTTTGATATGGTGACATTGAGCCATAAACACCATGAGCACTTGTGACCTATTCAGTCCCCAGTTACACATGATTCCTTGAGTTTGCCCACTCAACTTTGTTTCAACTTCATTATGCTCCGAGTATCCTGAAATGTCAATAATTGTGAGCGAACCTCATGTACTTATTTTCAGTTTTCGAAACACAGAAGAATTGCATTGAAAACATAATTCGCTGTCCAAGTTCAAGCAAAAGCTGCACATATTAAACGCTAACAGTATTTTCTTGTCAACTGTTTACACCATATCCTATTTTTAAAATTAATTTTGTCTCTAGCTAATACTGTATTGACATTATTGTGTCAAAGTGGCATATTAAAACCAGTTGACAAGAAATTGTATATTCACCCTTTCAATAGAAACAATGTATTTTTGTTATCCTGTAGCATTTTCTTTATGTCTTTAGCGTAACACAAAGCATCTGCTATTTCCGAGACATTCAGCATTAAAAAAAAACCCACATTTGAATGACTCATCATCAAGCAAAAGATGAAAAGGGCTCACCTGAAACCCCCTTTCTGGTAACGAATCACAAAATCAGATGTGGCTCACAGTTTCTTGTTCTCAGTGTTCCGTGGTGCCTACAGATGAAGCGAAAAGTAAAACGAGATGGGTAGAGGACAGACAACAAGCAGCGACAAATGTCAACTGTCAGAAACTGTGGCTTCTGTCCACATTTGCACAAAAATACAATGTGCAAACAAAAAATGAGCTGAATCAATTCATTGAGGTAAAGATCAGTGTCAAAAGAAATCAGGAACACTATCATTTACAGTTCAGAGTAATTCCATTGCCTAATGTATTAGGCACTAAATCAATTGGGCTTTCCCATGAATGGACATGATCAATGGTCAACAGCTTTGATGGTCTAGGCCACTTCTCACCTTACAAATGTTACTGTGGATGAATGTTTTCATAAAAAAAAAAAAAAAAAAAAAAACACTGAAATTACTGGGACAAAA